GGGCCGCGGCTCACCTGCTCCCCGCACAGCCGGCAGGTGGCCCACTGGCCCGCCGCGTGGCCCGGGCGCGCGGGGGCCAGGTGAAAGTAGCCCCAGGCCTCGCAGTAGGGCGCCCCCAGGCGGCCGGGAGGGGCCGGGGCCAGGCCGGGACACGGGCCGCCCTGCGCCGTAGCGTCGTCTGGCGCGCCGCTGTCTTCCATGGGCGTCGTCGGCTCGTCACTCCTCATTCTCTCCGCGGCGGCGTCTGCGTTCGAGGGAGAAACAGGTAAGGGCAGCCGCCAGCCACACACACACACACACACACACACACACACACACACGCGCGCGCGCTCACAACTGAGGAAACCCCTTCCGTTCGGGTAGTACCTGGGGTACTTTTTCAGTGTTAACGGTTTATTCCTCAGAAAATGTTCAACGTGTCCAGGGCTTCTTCCCTGAACTAGGAACGCTCTTCAAAATCACGTGGGTCCGCAGCTAGCGGGTAGTTACACTAAAAACTGGGAAGCCAAGCTTCTTCAGTGGAAAAACCAGCTAAATAAGTGCTCTTGTATGTATGAGTTTTAACTTTTTATTTTTAATGCTTTTATTTATTTTTGAGAGAGAGCGTGAGAGGGACACGGGCAGAGAGAGGGAGAGACACAATCCGAAGCAGGCTCCAGGCTCGGAGCTGTCAGCACAGAGCCCCACATGGGCTCGAACTCATGAACTGTGAGATCATGACCTGAGCTGAGCTCACAGCCTTAACCGACTGAGCCACCCAGGCGCCCCTTTCCTTTTCTTCTTAAAAATGTACTGCCTTTTCAGAATAAGAGCAAGGCTCCGTTTTGTTTTCTTAGTGTTAGGGAACAAACTGTAGAAACGAGCTGAAAAGAAAGCTTTGGGAATGAAAAATGTGTTTCTTACAGTTTAGGGGGGAAAGTGCCAGTTGAACAGCCTTTTAAAAACCTCTCAGTGAGAGAACTTTTTTTCAAAATAAGTCTTTGTTTTGTGAATTTAAAAACAACGTGCTTATGAGGAAAATGGCAGCACAAAAAAACCACTAAAACTTTAGTTTTAAAAATGTATGTCTTTAGGAAAACAAAAATACAAAGCAGTTTTCTAAATCGTTACCTTTAAATTAGGTATTAGGCCATGTCCTGTCGGCCTTGGGGGGGTCCCTGTCATTGCCTGATGGTTTCCAGCCAATGTAAGTTCTCAGGTGGACACACTGAGCAGGAATCCTGAGTTCTGAAGAACCATCAGCAGTGCTAGGAGTAAATTCAGAGGACAGGCAGTGAGTAAAAGAAATTCAGCAAACCACCCCCTAAACACAGATACTAGAAATGCTGGCTAGCACCATGTTCGAGTGTTCATGTTTTTCTGATCCTGTCACAGGTGCTCCAGTTACAAAACAAAATTTGTTTTCTTTATTGCTCATCACAATGCAGTGTTCCCTTCTATATATTTAAAAGATAAAAGGCTTGATCACTACTTTTAATGAAGGAAGAAAATAAAGAAAAGTAAGAGCTACTTGCTCTGTCCAACGTGTATGTTGTTAAAAGGATCCAAACACAACCCAATGACTGTCGCTGCAAAGTCTTTTCTGTTAAAGACAATTTATCATAGCAATAACCTACCAACCAAGGGGGAATAGAAAAGGTGAAGTTGATTCTTCAGAAAGTAGCTTCACAAAGGACCAAATGTGTGATTCTAAACAACTTTGTTCTGGAACTTTAAAAATAGTAAGAGAACACGTGGAAGACTTGGAGCTCTTCTGAGAATTTATTTCAGGGGGAATATCAAGGCCAAGATGCACCGTGAGATAGCCAGTGCCCATTCATACTGTCAGGCTTTGAACCAGCAGCAGCGCAGATGATAAAGTTCCAGAATCTTTTTGGTTAAACGTTAACTGGGAATGATGGAAGGCAAAGTTGGAAAAATAAGTTGCTATGATAGCAGTAGTGTTTAGCGTAAGCTTTTATTTCAATTGCTAAGATTCTTGTTACAGATACATTACAGTTTTCCAAAGCTCACTTTTCCCCCACCAAGCAAGTCTAATCAGGCTCAGGCATGACCTTTAACATATCGCTCGTATTTTTAAAAAAAGAAGGAATTTACCAGAATCATCAAAAAAGACAAGTAAGTACCAGGCTTCTTCTAACAAAAGAAATAGCTATTTACATATCTTCTGATACATTAGGCATTGATTTGAATATGGTTACTCATGAAGGCCAATTATTATAAAACATCTTTAAAAATTAAAGGCTAGACTTCCTCCAAGAGATTTACTAAATCCCTGAAGTCCACAAAAAGGGAGTAATAGGATGAGGAGGGGAGTTACAGACCACTTTCACGGATAATTTTCTTTACGCTTAGTAAACATTATGGTTATATAACATTATGGGTAGTCAACAGACCAGATTTTAGTATTAGACTTTGTTTTTGTTACCCAAATTTACCTAAAAAAATTTTTTTTTAGAATTCCATTTCGTCTACATTGCAATCTTCTCTTTTCAGAGTTCCTTGTTTTATTGCTAAACATAAACAAAAGTGGAGAGAATAGTATTATGAATCCTTGTTTTTTTATAAATTAAAAGAGATTTAAAGGTATTCTAGAATATCAAGACTATTACTTTGAATTCTGATATGCTTTCTTGAGCTGGGGGTTGAAAACTATGCATAAGCTGTAGACTGTCTTACCTGTGCCACACTCTGAGAGTGATCATTACTGATGTGCCCCTAAAAGTACCAGAGGTGAACAATTAGTCATGCTTTACCTCCCTGCAAGATGTCTCTGGGTTTCTTCAAAATCTGGGATGCCCAGAGGAGTGCCACATACATGAATGCCATCTGTTACAAGAGTGAAGGTGGAAAAAAAGAGTGAGAAGCACTGATTCTGATGTCTTAATCAGAATTAAGACTTAGTGGACTTAGACTTAGTGGACTGCCTCATCTGAGCCATGGACAAGCAGCACTACAAATGTCGGCCAGCACAGCGCTGCCCCTCCAAGGGCAGCAGAGGGACATCCTCTGCCTTGGCAGGCCTTCGCTCTCGGAGGTCTTAACCGGTGGAAGGCAGCACAGTACTGAACTGCCTCACCTTCTCAGTCCTCCGCATACGGCTACATTCTGGTTCAATACAGTCTTCTGTTCAGACTAAGTATCTAAACGGTGACCAGCAGTCTGTGGCCACAAGTCATAACAGCCTTCCTAGTTCTGCTAAACAACCCCTCAGCTTGTTTCGACTTTTCCTACAGTGCAGAGGGAGGGAAGCCTCCTAGCCAACCATCTTGGCTTGGAAGAGAAGCCTTAGTTAGCATCTTCAGTCACAACCCTAATACACAAAGAGCTCTAACAAACTGTCAAGAAAAAGACAAATAACCCAATAAAAAATGGGCAAGAAATATGAATAGGCAAATGACCTAAGAACAAAATTAGATGGCCAAGAAATATGTGAAAAGATACACATCACTTCTATTCAGGGAAGTGCTATTAAAGTAACAATAAGGTCTCAGATCTGTCGCACTAACAAAAATGAAGAGGTCTGTCAGCCAAAGCTAGAAGGGAGGCAAAGAAAAGGATACGTTCATACGTTACTAGTGGAGATGTGAAGGCTTTTAGGAAAGCAATCTGGCAATTTCTATTAATTAAAAATAAATATAATCAGGGATCCACTCCTGGGAATCTATTCTGTAGAACTAAAAGTACTAATACGTAAAGTAATGTATTAGGATATTTACTACAGTATTATCTGGGATGTCAAAAAACTGGAAACATGGGAACAACTGTCAGAGAATAGCTGGGTAAATAATGTGTTCACACCAGGGAATTTTGTACAGCCATTCAAAGCATGGATTGGAACTCTGCTAGATGATCTAGAGGGATTTCTGGAGGAATTCTACAGGGAGAAAAGTCAGATGAAGTATGTATAATATGTCATTATTATTAAATAATATATAGATCTGTGTAGGATATATTAAGATTTTATATGTATCTGAAGAAAAATAAGGAGATACACGGTTGGTTGAGGGACGGTTGAGGGTGTGGCAGCTAGTGTGAAAGGAGAAAGGGAAGCATCCAACACAAAAGAGGAAAAAGGTACTGAGAAAGCATGCACATCTGTGGACACATTTAGGTAGACTACATATATGGCAGGGTCTGTACATACATAGAGAGCAAGATGGAGTCACTCATGTCAGGCAAGGATGTAATGAATCAAGAAAGCAGACAAGGGTGATGAGCTGAGTACAGATACTGCTAAAACTGTTAACAGCCTGGGGGCACCCAGAACTGATAACCAGCAAAACCAAGGGAGCCTGGAAGAAATGAGAACCAATAATCATTAGACCCAGAAGAAGTCTGAAAGGGCTAGACTGATGAAACTCGTTTAAAAAGGGAAGATTGTTGAGGCAAACTGCCAGATTCTCCAGATGCTCACCCTTCTATGTCCCACTGGTATCAGGCAACTGCCACTGAAGGCTCTGCTCGTTTGATCTCTGAAAGTGATGGAGATCCTCCACTGCTTGAACACAGTAAGCAGGAAGCGCTGAGTGGACCCATACTGGTCAAGGCCTCATCCCAGCTGTGTGTTCACGGACTGACTTCGCATTTCATTCATTAACTTACCCTTACTGTATCTTTCTTGTTTTGCGTGTCATGTACGACGCCAAGTTAAATGCGTAGTGAAAGGTCTTTGAGTTTGGAATTCTGAATCTGCTTTACAATTATGTTAACCTTGCTTTATGATTGAATAAAGCTGACATTGTGGAAAGACAGAACTTGTGTACATGCCTTCACAGAGTGCTCGTGACAGCATAAATACAAAATAATTTAATGAAACAATCCTTGGGTATGTGAGCTCAGGCTGGGCTAAGCAACCTTAACTATGGAGACTGGAGGATCAGTCCGATGGGGCATAGGGTGCTGCCATCTGGCCGTGGAAGGAACCCAGTGTGGAGGGTTGCTCGATATCAGGTGGTTTGCTGTGCCCTGCCTGAGCAGAAGGAGAGTCTGGATCCACACCTCACTCATCTCCCTAGCACGGGCAGGCATTCAAGGGACACTGCATTCAATGTAATGACTTGACTCTACTTTTCTTAGGCCCAGCTCACCAAGTCCCAATCTCCCCATCTGTCAAGGGAAATGATAAGATTATCTGCCTGTAAACTGGTGGCTGAAATCAAATAATGCAGATGATCTCACTATTGGACTCTCCAGTGCTATATCATATAAATTCAAGGCATGAGCAAAAAGAAGCTACCAGCATTTACTGTTCATACATGCCTACATTAAGATCTTAGTAGCTAAAGGCAGTGTTATTTCTCTCTTTGACATTCTATTATTCACTACAATAGGTAGTTTAAGTTGGAAGAATTCCCTTGAGGGTTTTTGAATATAAAAAACAAAGAATCACAGATCCACCTTCCCTCCCCAACCAAATTTATTTTCATTTCCTAAATTGACCTGCATGCAAATTAGGTTGCTCACCTCTCAGGTAGAAAATGATGGAGGGAAAAAAAATTGATGGGGAGGTCTGGTTTCCTGGAGCCCTTTGATATGCATTTCTTCCTTACCAACTACCCAACAAAAACACACACCTATTAACTTATGGTTAGCTAATATGAAGAAAATGAAAAATAAGAACTCCCTAAATTTTTCCTTAGTTTTTTTTTTTAAGACAGAGGTGGTTTTTTTGTTTTGTTTTTATGTTTATTTTTGAGAGACAGAGAATATACACCTATGAGTGAGGGAGGCACAGAGAGAAAGGGTGACAGAATCCAAAGCAGGCTCCTCGCTGTTGGCACAAAGCCCAACATGGGGCCCGAACCCATGAACCAGGAGATCATGACCTGAGCCAAAGTAGGACGCTCAACAGACTGAACCACCTAGGTGCTCTTCTGCTTAAACAGTTTTTAAATTATAAGAAAGGTGCCAATGAATGTGATTATTTTGCTTACATCCATTCACTCCATCCATTCTCATTCAAATTGCTCATTGTGCACCTGCTCAGGGTCAGGCAAGGGCTTACTACCCAGGATGCCAAGAGAAGACCCACATAGTCCATCCCCTCCAGAAGCTTACCGTCTGGTGAGGAGAGATGCTTCCAGCAATAATTCTGATACAGGTGGTAAAGGTCAGAGCAGTGTTCACTCATGAGGGTGAATTCCATCACACGGTGTCCATGCTGGGGAAAGGGTAGGCCTTGGGGGCCCTATACAACTGTTCATGCAGAGATTCCTGCTTCAGCATCTCTTCCCTTTCCACCTCCTTCAGGGCCCAAAACCACATTGCCACTAGTGCTAACTCTCACCAAGTTCTTTAGTCTTATAACTAGACCTCTAAGCTCACATTTTATTTTTTTTTTAAGTTTATTTATTTATTTTGAGAGAAAGCAAGAGCATGAGTGGGAGAGGGGCAGAGAGAGGGAGACAGAATCCCAAGCAGGCTCCATGCTGTCAGCACAGAGCCTGACATGGGGCTCGATCTCACAAACCCTGAGATCATAATCTGGGCCAAAATCAAGAGTCAGACACTTAACCGACTGAGCCACCCAGGTGCCCTCCAGCTGATATTTTAAAATAAAATTTCTTCTTCTTCTTTTTCTTTTTTTAACTAGGCTCCATACCCAACATGGTGCTTGAACTCAAGACCCTGAGATCAAGAGTCGGGTGCTCTACCAATTGAGCCAGACAGGTGCTCCTAAAATAAAATTTCTTGATGCTAAATGAAAGTAGCTAGGGGCACCTGGGTGGCTCAGTTGGTTCAGCCTCTGACTCTTGGTTTTGGCTCAGGTCATGATCTCTTGGTTTGTGGGTTCGACCCCCACGTTGGGCTCTGTGCTGACAGCATGGTGCCTGCTTGGGATTCTCTCTCCCTCTCTATTTGCTCCTTCCCAGCTCATGTGCACATTCTCTCTCTAAATAAATAAGTAAACAAAAAAAAAAAAAAAGTGGCTAGCATGAGATGAACAGTACAAGTTTTTTAGTCCAGTTTCAGAGGGAAAAAAGCTGAAAGAAAAGCAGATTTTTGTTACTTCATGGAAGAGGAGAGAGTAGTAGTGTACCACCCTCTGCTCTCTCCCAAAGGGAGTTTCATTTGAGTATCCACTATCTGGAAGGGATGGTAAGAAGTTAAAGTCTGTGGAAGATAATAAATTCACACGAATTACTTCAAACTGCATTTAAAGTTTTATTTGCAGTTCTCTAAAGTTCCAGTCTTCTAAAAACCTATCAGATTACAATGTAGATTCTTCAGTATGACCCCCCTGAATACCAGTATAGAGAATAAGGGAGATCAAAACCTGGATGAGTAATTTGTGTAAATATGTGTGTATGTACATGAAAAACATGACTGGAACATTAAAAATCATCCTATAAAACAAACTAATTTTTTTATTTTACACTTAAACCTGAACATAGACAACATATTAGGCAGGCTAAAGGTCAAAGAACCAGGCAGTGTTCTCAAAAGGGAATAACAAATGAATTATAGCTGTATTTGTCCTTCCACACCCAAGGCCAGTCACTTCAGATGGATTAATCTGGCAGGATTACAAACAAGTATGTGTAGGTTGAGCCTGGATTTTAGTAAGAAATTCACACTAATGCAAAATCCACATAGATTTGTGTGGAAACAATAAAAACATTTTCATTTACTTCATCCACCAGTAACTTTAATCAAAGCAGAACATAATAATTAAAACAAATAATTAGCCTTGACAATTGACCCAAATATCAAGGAAAACACAATTCATTCATCTGTTACTTGTCTATCTCTGTAGAAATATTAGTTTACTAATATTAAATAATGAATTCATCTGTTTATGAACAAATCGAGACAATTAGAAAAACTAGCCTGGAATCACCAGGCTGAAGACTTTGATGAAGTTAAAAACCAAGTAAAGTGTAGATACTTGGCTCAGGCGAGAAAGGGATAAGTGTGAAAATATCAGATAAAGGTTACACATGGACTTTTAAAAAATTTACTGGACCCACAACTAATTATATGGAGAGTCAGAGATGTTCTCTACATGTCTTAAGCCAAACTCTTAGATACCTCTACCATTAGCTAAAAGGCTCTGATGTATTCTCTATTAATGCATTTTTTTAAATGAAAATTTTCTACGCTGAAGTGGAGCTTTAGTTCAGGCCTACATTACTTTAATACATATGTTCCTGAAAAGAAGGGTGTTGATCCATTTTGTCTTGTAAAATGCATACTTTGATATGAATTAGAAGAATTTAAAGCTGTCCTACTTTGAAGGCCTTTGTAACAAAGAATTTTTAATTGAGAATTTGCTTGTTTTGGCTCTTGGCCATTTTACACATTGTTGTATCCTTTTTATTGTCCTTTGCCTCAAGCTATTTTTGGCCAAAAAGGCTGTACAAATAATAGATTAATGCGAAGTGCATAAAATAATTACCCTAATTATGTTAATTTATTAAGCTCGCTCTACAACAGTTTCTCTTAAACACCGTATCCATGTAGTCTGGGCTAATTAGAAGTTCGGATGGTGGTTATTTTTTTCTTTCATGGAAGGAAAAATAATTTTGCTTGGTAAGCTTGGGGCATTTGGCTACTGTCAGTAGTTACAGCAAACTGCTCCTGTGTACTCAGAGAGGATCAGAAAATTCTTTTGTTTGAGCATCATGGAAGTGGGGGCAGGGATTGTTTGAGCATTTGGCTCGCATTCCGTTTTCTCTTCTCCAAAATTTGAGACCTTAAGATAATCTCAGAGAAAGAGCACACCACAGGGCACCCAACCACTTGCACTGTTAAAAGTGTGACTGCAAAAAAGGCAATGTTACTAGAAAGGAGAGCAGATGATTTTCGATATTCCCAAATAACTTTTTTGAAGGGATACTGTGGAGGAGCAAAAATGAGGTGCTAAAAGAAGCTGATCGGTGCTTTTATTCAGACTTTGGGGCCACACGCATCTTTTACACCGGGGACAACCGACCACAGCGAAGGAAGGGCACGTCCGGCGGCTTCTGCACGAGCCAGCCTGTGATAATAGCGGACACTGGCGTTTGCGGGTCGAAGGCTCACCTGCGGCCCCGAGGCTTGTGGCTGGTCCCCTCCCCCCACCCCTGGCCTGCCGCGCCCTGACCCAGCCTCCGGGAGCGCCACAGCATGCGTGGTGGCGCACACTCACCCCATCACCCCCGAAGCGTGGCGGGAGCGGAAGGCGGGCTGGAAGTCTGGGATCGCCCGGTAGCCTCCAGGATCCTCGCAGACATTTTGTCCTGTGCGGAAACCACTGCGCGCGTCTCCCTTAAAGACACAGCGTTCAATTCACGCTTCTGGGGGTAAAAGTGGGGGTGGGGTGGTAACGTGTGGCCTATAGGGGAAAGGACTAGGGAGTCACTCCTTAACTATCCAGGTCCACGAGTGACAGACTTGTGGTTGCCAAGGTTTAAAAATGATACAATTGTTTAGTGCTTTTAGAAAATGTAATTTTTATTTTATACTTTTACATTAACCTTCCAAGACCTGGATTCCTATCTTGAGTCTGAGTGCAGTTTGCATCTTTTCAGGTTCAAGGAGTCTGATGGTTCAAGTTGTTGCCAACTGAACCACGGTCTAGACAGATAAAGGTTGGGCTCGTTGGTGCTCTAAAACTTAACAACGCTAGCTAGTGGTATCAGTCACCTTTTCATGGATTATGTTGAGGTAACAACCCCTACAACTCAGTGATTTCCAATAACAAAGATTCATTTCTCAAGCAAATTATATCTGCTGCAGGTATCTTTGGCTCTATTCCACTAGTTTCATTCACTCCAGGCTCCAGGTTCAAAGATCAACTTTTTTGGGACACACTCACCTCACCACGTGCTGGAATCAACTTTGAGGGAAGAGGAGTCCTGGTTTGTAGTGTTTGCTGTTTCCATGATGTAAATACTCACCTATGATGTAAAAACCCACCATGGCTGATTTCAAGCTACTTTTAACAAGCTACTGTTAACAAGTTTAACAAGTGGCTTGCCAAATTTCTGGAAATGTTACAATCAGCTCTTATACACCACTGGTAGGTGCTGCTCTTAAAACTTAAAACACATTCTGTGCACCTCAGTTCTGCTCACATTTTATTGGCCAAAGCAAGTCATATGACAAAGCCTGTTGTCAGTGGGGCCAGAAAGTACACTCTCAAAAGGAAACCTTGCAAGTTATATGACAATGGGCAGAGATTGTATAATTCTCTTAAAAGGAGGACAGGAAATTTTTGGTTACAATAATACAGTCCACTTATATGCTTTGGTTCAAGTATTTTTTTTTCAACCTTATTTTTTCTATAAATTAGACATTTTTCTAAGTTTCAAAGCCTATTAATGGAATTTCTCCTTACCATTCCAAGAATGGTTTCAGAAGAGACTGGTTGGATGTCTTAAAAGGGACAGTTTTGCAATGTGAAGATTAACTATCAGGTTAATGTTTTTCTTCTCAGAAGGATACTTAATGCTGTGGATGTCTGCTTAAAAGAATAGTAACTAGTATAAATGAATCTGGTTAAGTCATCTCTTATTCATGGCTTAATTCATAAACAAAATTTTAAAGTTTATTGTTATCTGGCAATCCTTTTAACAAGAGGCTTTATTTATTAAAAAAAAAATTAACATTTATTTATTCTTGACAGAGAGAGAAAGACAGAGCATGAGTTGGGGAGGGGCAGAGTGCAAGGGAGACCCAGAATACGAAGCAGGCTCCAGGCTCTAAGCTGTCAGCACAGAGCCCGACACGGGGCCCGAACTCATGGACTGTGAGATCATGACCTGAGCTGAAGTCGGGCGCTCAACCAACTGAGCCACCTAGGCACCCCTCTTTATTTATTTATTTTTAACGTTTATTTATTTTTGAGAGGCAGAACAGAGCGTGAGCTGGGTCAGAGAGAGGGAGACAGAATCCAAAGCAGGCTCCAGGCTCTGAGCTGTCAGCAGAGCTGACAGGGCTCAAACCCACTGACCATGAGATCATGACCTGAGCTGAAGTCAGATGCTTAACCAACTGAGCCACCCTGGCGCCCCTAACAACAGGCTTTATTACTTTGAGTACTTTAAAAGTCCATTTTTTAGACTGATCAGGTAATGAGGTACATGATATTTTCAGTAGTTCATAGAATAGTTTTTACTAAGTGCTGGTTGTGAACAAAGCACTGTCCTAAACCCGAGTAGGGGTCTGGAAATTTGAGAGACCATTCCTGCCCTCAGGAAGATTATACTTCAGTAAGACAGTAAGACAAATTCAACTCCAAGAAGAAAGTGGAAAGTTATATAAGAGGAAACATTCAGGGGCGCCTGGGTGGCGCAGTCGGTTGAGGGTCAGACTTCAGCCAGGTCACGATCTCGCGGTCCGTGAGTTCGAGCCCCGCGTCAGGCTCTGGGCTGATGGCTCAGAGCCTGGAGCCTGTTTCCGATTCTGTGTCTTCCTTCTCTCTGCCCCTCCCCCGTTCATGCTCTGTCTCTCTCTGTCCCAAAAATAAATAAACGTTGAAAAAAAAAAAAATTTAAGAGGAAACATTCAAGTGCCACACCAATTTGAGAACAGCTCCTTTTTTTTTTTTTTTTTTTTTTTTTTTTTTTTACTGGCAGCATTTAACCAAAATTTGAAAAAGGGTAGGATTTGGACTCTTCAAATTACATGTTTGTTATCCTAGCAAGATGTGTTTTGGATTTATTTTCAAAGTCCAGAGAAACAGAGTCTGTTTGTCTTCTGTGTTTGATTCAATGCCTAAACTTTCTTATAATCTAAAACCTCTTTCTTATAGTTTTAAATTAACTTTTAAATAAATTATAAAATATTTCTCAAATACCTAATAACTCTTCTTCTTTGCCCCACACTCTTCAAGTTTCAGCAAGAAAAATGCTCTTCAATTCTTGTTTTGGTAGTGGCAGTTCCCCTAACCTTCATCATGCATTTTTTTTTTTTTAGTTTATTTATTTATTTTGAGAGAGAGAGAGAGAGAGAGAGAGAGAGAGAGAGAGAGAGAGAGAAAGAAAGAAAGAATATGAATGGGGTAGGGACAGAGAAAGAGGGAGAGAGAATTCTAAGCAGGCTCCACACTGACACAGACAGAGACTGATGTGGGGCTTGAACTTTTGAACTGTGAGATCATGACCTGAGCTGAAATCAAGAGTCAGATCCTTAACTGATTGAGCCACCCAGGAGCCCCCATTCATACATTTAACAATAAATAAATAACATTTAGTTTTCATCAGAAGACCTCATTTCTCTCCCCTCCTCTGGAAGTTGGCAAAGCATTAAGACCTGCATTTCATTGGTAACATGGAATATTTACTCACCAGATGCTTGCCAAAGATTATAGCCTTGAAATCTGCTGTCTGACCTTACCAAAAACCCATTGTGAGAAAACTATTTATGGAAATTACCTCAAAGACATAAAATTATAGAGCTGTGTACTTGGACCATACTCTTTTGGTACATTCTATATGTGCTTTTGGTCTGTAGTTTCCTTGTGGCATTTTGGTCTGGTTTTGGTGTCAGAGTAATACTGGCCTCATCAAATGAGTTGAAAAGTATTCTTTCCTCCTTTCTGGAAGAGTTTGAAAATAACTGGTGTTTGTTTGTTTGTTTGTTTGTTTGTTTGTTTGTTTGTTTTTAATGTTTGGTAGAATTCAACAGTGAAGCCATTTGGGCCTGGGCTTTATGAGTAGTTTTTTGATTACTAATTTAATCATTTCATTTGTTTTAGGTCTATTCAGATCGTCTCTTCCTTCTTTTTTTCTTTTTTAAATTTTTTTAAAAATTTTATTTTAGTGAGAGAGTATGCCCAAGTGGGGGAGAGAGGCAGAGGGAGAGACAGAGAGAATTGTAAGCAGGCTTTACGCTCATCATGGAGCCCAACGTAGGGCCCAGTCCTTGACCCTGGGATCACGACCTGAGCCACAATAAAGAGTTGGACACTCAACTGGTTGAGCCACCCAGGCACCCCCATCTCTTCCTTCTTGAGTCAGTTTTGGTAGTTTGTGTCTTTCTAGGAATTTGTCCATTTCATCCAAGGTGCCTAATGTGTTGATGTACAGTTGTGCCTATTATTCCTTAATTAACTTTTTTTATTTCTGCAAGGTTGATGGTAATGACTCCTTTTTCATTTCTGATTCTTAGATGTGCACCTTGTAGGAAATAGCTGCATAAAATTTCTTATTGGGGCTAGTGTCATGATGTCATCCACATGTTGTCCATTGATTCCTACAGTGTTGTTTTTTTTTTTTTCTGTAGGATGTAGAGGAGACCATTCTCTGATCTCTCAGTGTCATAAAAAGCTGTGCATCCCCTGAGCAAATAGGACTGTTTAATCCTGTGGGCACTGTGGATCATTCCACAAACTGTTTCCTTGCTTCAGCTGCTAGGAAGAGACTGAGTCAAATATGGGATGCCTACTCTATTAGTTTTCTAGCGCTGCTGTAACAAAGTACCACAAACTCATTGGCTTAAATAATGGGAATTTATTCTCTCATAGATCTGAAGGTTATAAGTCCAAAATCAAGGTGTCAGCAAGGCCATGGTCCCTCTAAAACCTGTAGAGAAAATCCTTCCGTGCTTCTTCCTAGCTTCTGGTGGTGGTGGCCAGCCATCCTTGCTGTCTTTGCAGCTGTATCACTCTAGTCTCCACCTTTCTTGCACATGATCTCCTTTGTGTGTCTGTATGCAGGTTTCCTTCTTATAAAAACCCCAGTCATATTGGATTAAGCCCTATCTAATGACCTCACCTTAACTTGATTACATCTGCAAACATTCTATTTACAAATAATAACCCCAGGTTTGGTACCTGGACTTAAGACGTCAACATATCTTTTTCTAGGGGGAAGGATACACAATTCAACTTGTAACACCTACCAGTTCCTGTGCTAATCTTTTATTTTCCTTTTGTCCTGATGCCCTGGAATACTTAGTTTTTCCTTAATTATATGCATCTTGGCAGAATTTGAAGGAAAGAAGGCAGAAAGGAAGGAAAAAAGGAGGGAAGACAAGAGAAAAAGGAAGGGAGGAAGAAAAGTTTGCCAAGAGAAATCAGACAGGGAACTTGGAGAACAGAGTTGCTGGAATGGGGAATGGAATGGGGAAGACTGACTGGAAAAGTGTTCTCAGAATTACTCTTTTAGGAAGACTACAGCTTAGCTGACCTAGAGAAAAGTGGAAGGTAATTTGAAGAGCTGAGAATTGGGAGACAGGTATGATCTAGCTGCCTTTAAAAAAGTATGTATTTACTTACTTCATTACTTATTTAATTCCAGTATAGTTAACATACAGGGTTATATT